GGCAAGAGCTGTTCGGGCGACGGGCGAACAGTGAAAACGGCAGAGGACGGGCCGCAGGGGCAAAGGCACAAACAAGGGTGCCCTGGATGAAGGCGCGCGTCCTTACTACAGGCGCGTTGGCAGCAAGGGCCCCAGGGAGGCGGAAACAGAAAACGCACGAACAAAACAGGTACGGTTCTTCTTCCGGTCATCCTTCCCACGGCGTGACGAGGTCAGGGTGCTCTGCCCTCCTCCCCCCTCGCCGCGTCGTCGTCGTCGTCGCGTCGTCGTCGTCGTCGTCGTCGTCGTCGTCGTCGTCGTCGTCGCGTAGTCGTCGTCGTCGTCGTCGTCGTCGTCGTCGTCGTCGTCGTCGTCGTCGTCGTCGTCGTCGTCGTCGTCGTCGTCGTCGGCGTTCGTCGGCGTCCGGAGAGCCCGCAGAGCCGCGCCCCGCTGAAGCTGCCGACGAGGACGCCCTGCGGGCCGCCCCGGCGCGGGGCCGCTGCGGCCACCGCCCCGCCGCAGGCGGGGCAGACGCCGCCGGCCCCGCAGGCCGCGGGCAGCGGCACCACCGCGGGCGCGTCGGCCTGCGAGGCGTAGGCCCGCCAGAGCGCCTCGGGAAATGTCGGGCGTGTCCCCCTACAGGGGGATTCTCGACGAAAAATAAAACATACCCTAAAAATACCCCAAAATAAAAAAATAAAAAACAATCCCCAGACTATGTTTGGACTATTTTGGGAGCATTTTGGGGGGCATGTTTTCTTTTTCGTCGAAAATCCCCCTGTAGGGGGACAGGCCCGACTTAGGCCTCGGGCAGGTACAGCGCCCTCCGCGCCCGCGTGAGCGCGACGTAGAGGGCGTTCACCTCCTGCACCTCCGGAGGTTGGACGCCCGAAATGGGCACGGAAAGAACGGGTACAGTGCCCAACAACAACTGCTGTCCCGAGCCAACAGCGGCCGCGGTTGGGCAGGCGGCCTCCTGCCTCGAATGGACACGGGCCGCGGCGGCGTGGACAGCGACTCCTGCTCAAAATGAACAAGATCCGCTGCTGGGCGTTGTGCCCATTCTTTCCGTGCCCCTTTCGCTCGTGCAGAGAAGAGGGGGACGCTGGGACAGCGGTGGTGGGCCTTCCAGGTCGCCCCCTATCGCCGCCACGCGGCCGGAGACGCAGCTCGGACCGACTCTCTGGGGGCAGCCGCTGTGTTAGCCCGCCCTGCTCCGACCCTCTGAGCTTCGTGGAGCCGATCCACACCCCCGCTGGCGTCGCCTTGAGTATTGGGCCCGCTGGCCACATTACACATTTTTGATTCGCGGTTCGAGAGCGCACCTCTTCCGGTCGACGCTAAGCGGGCCGCGCGAAGCTTGAATCAACAAAGGGGGGGGAAGGGAAGGAGCGCAGCCTCACGGCGAGGCCAGGAGGAGGCAGAGCCTCGGGATCGGGCGGTGCCGAAAACGACGTGCTCTGGCCACATTGCACACCTATACAGGCGGGGATGCGTGCCTGTCCGATCGGGTCTCGCGGAGCCGATCCCCACCCGGGAGGGTGGGCTGGTGGGGCTGCGATGCCCAGGCCCAGGCGGGATGGGGATGCGTAGGTTAGACGATGCTGCACCTCGGCTTGGCGCCCGGCGCCCTCCGGCGTCTCCGACTGCAGGCACGAGAAGTCCCCGGCCACCACCACGGCGTTCCACTCGAGGCCCTTGGCCTTGTGCACGGTGGCCAGGTGGACCTGCGCGAGCGCCGCCACCTGCTGAGAGGCCTTGCCCTTCTCCCTCGCCAGCGCCTCCGCCTGCATGCGATCCACGCGCCGGAGGAGCGCCCCCTGGTCGTAGTGGCGGAGCAGCTGGATCCTGGAGGGGAGAAGGAGGTACTGATACCGCTGCTCCCAGGACCTCTCCCCGGGTGCGTGCTGGTCAGAACTTCAAGGCGAATCCAGCCGTGGCGACGAGACCTCCCTGGAGGCCCAAAGCGGCGAAAACGAGGCCAAGGCCCAAGGCAGCGGTACCCGTCGGTCGGAAGAAGTGGGTAGAAACGTGCGGTAGGAAGGCGCTGGAAGTGGCTTGGGCTTCCGCCCGCCTCCTGAAGAGGAAAGAGGAAGAACAACCACCCGACGACTGACATAGGAAGGTGCCTGGAGTAGGCTGGCATCTGGGCATCCAGAAATTGCTACTTCCAACGACCGGCGAGTACCTTTTCTAGAGAAGGAAAAAAACGCCATGAACATCAAATTCTGGCGCTCCGGGAGGATTTCTTGGACCTGCGCTGGGCTCCCCCGGCGGCGCCTCCAGCGCCGACCCTGGCGAGCTCCGCGCGCCAGGGAGGGGGTCTCAGCACAGATCCAGGACATCCGCGCGGAGCGCCACAAGTTTATGTCTATGGCGTTTCTCCCTCGATTGCACTCCCGTGACATCCGCACCATCATCTCCGCGTCTCCCACGCGCTTCGCGTGCGCCGCCAGCGCCTCCACGGACTGGAAGGCGCGCACGCGCCTGCTCTCCGCCTGCGCACGCTGCCCGAGCGCAAGTAGGCACAGGTCCCGCAGCAGCTGCAGCCTCGAGGGGCCATGCTCAGGAGCCCCTGGAAACGGCAGGTTACCGGCTCCGTTTTGCCATTGCTTTGCCGGTTCCGACGCCGTTGTTGTTGCCGGTTCCGTCGCGGTTTTATGTCCCGTTCCGGCTCCGGTTCCAATCCCGGAGCCGCAGCCGCTTTTGTTGCCGTTTCTGGTCGCCGTTTTTTTGCTGCCTCCATTTTCAAGAGACGCTGTGTCGGAGACGGTAAAAAACAGTTCCGGGGCCCACTGAGCTCCGGGAGGGGGGCAGCATCGAGCTTGAATCGGCGATACCTTAGCAGGGACCAACCGCGGCGGCACTCCTACAGGCCTACCACGGAATGCTCTCAGAACCAAGGAGTGTTCTGATGACCAAAACAACGTTCTGAGAACAAGAAGCCAAATGGCTAAAACAACACGGTCTGAACCAGACATGCTCTAAGAACGCGTCCTGCAAACCACAAAAGGATTGTTTTGAGGCCGCCATGCTTCGGTTGGCCTGTAGGCGAGCCGGGGCGCTTCGCCACTTCTTCAGATGCAGCGCCGATCGATGGGCGAAATGCCCGCGACAGTGACACCGCAAGTTCCTGGGCTGGGGTGGGCTATCAGGCCCCCCTCGGCGAGGAACTGGGCATCGCTCGGACGTCCATTCCCTGTGTTTTTTTGCGGTTTCCTGCGTGGCTTTTTCACCAGATGATCAAAAGGATGCTCCTCGATTCGTGCGTGTTATTGTTTCGGTTTCGTGCGTGTTTTTTCGCCAAATGATCAAAAGGATGCTCCTCGAGGGTCCTCGCCGAAGGAAAAAAATGCACACGCCCGAGCGAGGCCAAGTGAAAAGGGGCGATGGCGGGCCGAGGATGCGCCTCCCCCCCGAAAACCTCTCTGCCGCCGACGTCTTTCCCCTGCAGCCTGTACCCTCGGACGCCACCCACCCAGGTGATCTGCAGGCCCGCGGCGTCGGCGGCGAGCGCGAAGTGGAGCACCTACAGTCCAAACGCGTAGGGAGGACGCGTGGTGAGGACGCAAGACCCTTGGAGGCTGAAGCTGGGACTTTTGTTGGGGCGGCGGCGACCGGTGAAGACGGCAGAGGACGGGCCACAGAGGCAAGGACGCAAGGGCATCCTACTACCCTCGTCAAAATTAACCTCAACAGTTGCTGGCACGTCATTTCGATTTCGGCGCGCCCCTCAATGTCGACACGCCGCCCCTTCAATGTCGGGGCGAGGGCAAAGATCGTCTGACCGAAGTTGACTCGAAAGTTTGACGTCGACCGACATTGGAGGGGCGGCGCATGCAAGTACCCCGCACTCATCGATACTCGGCCCCAGATCTTCCGACAAGCAGTTCAACCACGTCAGACATTTTTGAGGTTAATTTTGACGAGGGTTGTAGATGAAGGCGCGCGTCCTTACTGGGCGCGCTGACTGCACCACGAGCTCCGACGGTGTGCTGCTCGCCAGGCCCTGCGCTTTTTTTCTCCTCCACTTTGCGGCCTCTGGGGGGCCCGCGGCGGGGCCCCCGGGGACAGAAAAACATGGACCCCCATGCGAAGGTGCACCCCCTGTTGGGGCCGCGGCTGGAGAAGACGCCTCACATCGCAGGACGTCTGGGTCTGCATAGACGACGGGGCCCCAGGACACACACAAATAAATACACACAAGTAAAAAAGATTCCCCATCGTTTCCCATCTTTCCTGGGTTTGTGTCTTCCCCCATACTTCCCACATTTTCCCATATTTTCCTGGGAATCGACGACTGTACTGGGCGCGCTGACTGCACCAAGAGCTCCGACGATGTGCTGCTCGCCAGGCCCTGCGTTTTTGTTTTCCTCCACTTTGCGGCCTCTCTGGGGCCCGCGGCCGGGCCCCCGGGGGACAGCAACATATGGACCCCCATACGAAGGTGCACCCCCTGCTGGGGCCGCGGCTGGAGAAGAAGCCTCACATCGCAGGACGTCTGGGTCTGCATAAACTAAGGGGAAGGAAAAAACAAAAAAAACAGACACAATTCACAGTCGAGTCCCAGGAAGATACGGGAAAATATGGGAAGTGGTGGGGAAGACAAAAACCCTCACATCGCAGGGTGTTGGGAAGTGATGGGGCCGCGGATGGAGAAGAAGCCTCACATCGCAGGACGTCTGGGTCTGCATAGACTGAAGGGCCCCCAGGACACACACACACAACCAAGTACACACAAGTAAAACGATCCCCCATCTTTTCCTATATTTCCTGGGTTTCTGTCTTCCCCCATACTTCCCATATGTTCCCATATTTTCCTGGGAATCGACGATTCATTGTGTCTGTGTGTTTCTTCCCCTCCTGAATAGACATGCGCTCTCGAAGGTTCGCCCGGATCCCTCGGATCGGCGCTCCGGCCCCGCTGGCGGCGCCTCCGGTGCCGCCTCTGGCGCGCTCCGCGCGCCAGGGAGGGCGGTCCAACGCCGATCTCAGAAGCCCGCTCGAACCTCCGACAGTTTATGACTATGCCGCGTGTACTTCTTCGAGCCTCCGCGTTGGTCCGGGCAACGTACGCGAAGGGCTCTCCACCGGCGGCGACGCGCTGCAGCATCTCCGCCATCGGCGGGGTCGGTCGCACGGCCCCCTCGGTCGAGGAGCGGCCGAGCAGAGGTCGCCTCTCGCTCTTCCAGTGTCCGAGCACGAAGTTCGCCACGTCTGCGATGTTCGGGCCGAACCTGAACACTTGCGTGAGGTGCCTGCGCCGAATCGTGTCACCCATCGGGCAGAGCCTCTCTGCCGATAAGGCATCCGTCGCCCCAAGGAAGCCGTAGATGCTCTGGTGGCTATCCCCGACTAGAACTCTGGCGCAGCGCTGGCAAGCAACGATGCCAGCAATGGCGGGACTGCAGTCTTGGGCCTCGTCCAGGAGAACCACATCGTAACACAGCGCGGGCTTAGATCCGCCACCGTGCCGCCAGCACGAAGTGGAGTGGTTGCAGGGGTAACTATAGGTGACGGAGGCATGGTGGGATTCTCAGCGAGCACCGACCCCCAATGTGCCAGAATCCCTCGGCGCTGCTGGGCGCATCCTGGGCTGTGCCGCCAGGGCCTCCCAGATGGCAAACCCGCCCAAAAGGACCGGATCCCGCCAGAGGCGCCCGAGCAGCGCCCTCGGGAGGCTGTCAGAAGGCCCAAGGGAGCCAAGGAGGCCCATAGTGGGATCTACGAGAAGCTCTCAGACGCTCCAAGAAAGGCATAGAGAGGCCCAAAACAATCAAACGGATCAAACCCCGATTAAGTTTGCAATCTATGTTAGCTCTCAGACTGGCCAAGAGGGACACGACGGCCCAATAACCATCCAAAACTGCCTAAGAGGGCCCCAAGAGGCCCCCAAGATGGCTCAAGACGGTCTGCTAGACGGTCCAAGAGGGCCCCAGGAAAGCCCAAGACATCCACCAAAGGACCACAAGACGTGCCGAAACGGCCCAAGACGACCCAAGATACCCCCAATAGGCCCCCAGGGGGCTCCTGAAAGGGACCTCAAGATGCTTCCACGGAGCATCTCATCCAAGACCCTGGCGCGGTGGCGGAATGGTCCGAAGGCCATGAGATCCGCCGCACCCTTTTGGCTTGCCACAGGGGTGCCCGGCGTGCTAGATCCTTTCGATTTTGGTTCTTTTAGAAAAAACCCTGGGGCTTCGGCCCGTCCCGCCGGCGACCCGAAAGGCCGCACAAGACAGCATAAACCACCCCAACGTCCACAACACATTTTCCAAGAGGGCTCAACATGGCCTCTAAGATGGTCATGTATGCCCAAGATGGCCTCCACGATGGCGTCCAAGTCGCCAAAGATGGTCGAAGATGGCTTCCAAGACGGCCCGAGAGAGTCCACGATGCCTTCAAGTTCGTCCAAGAAGCCTCCAAGACGGCCCAAGATGGCTCCAAGATGGCCTAAGACTGGCCAAGAGGCCCCCAAGAGGCCTCCAAGACGTCCTCCAGGAAGGCCCGAAAAGGCAAACATCATTTATGTTCCGTAGGTGTTGGAAGGATTTTGGCATGTTCTTCTTATCAGCTCTCCGACGGCCCAAGATGGCCCAAGAGGCCCCCAACATCGTCCCAAGAGCGCCCAAGAGGCCTCCAAGATGACCCATGACAACTCAAGAGGCCCCCAAGAGGGCCCCAAGAAGAGCCCAAGACGGCCCAAGATGGCCCCGAAGACGCCCAAGATGGCCTCCTAGATGCCTTCAGGACGGCCAAGAAGGCCTCCAAGACGGTGAAGATAGCCCCAATGTGCACCCAAGACGGCCCCAGATGGCCTCAAGATGGCCTTAGACTGCCCCAAAGGCCCGCCAGAGGCCTCCAAGACGACCCAAGACCCCTCCAAGACGTCCTCCACTAGGCCAGAAAGCTCGGATACCACCTGGTCCGATAACTCGCCCGACTCCGTGTTTCCCGAAGGCTTTCGAAACCCACTCGGGACGCGTGGCCATATAGCTTGGCCAAGCTCGAACCCAACTTTCGGCCACGCAGGCGCTTCCAAAAAGGCAGGGGGCGGCGGTGATTCGCCGTAGGCGTCTTCGATCCGCCGCCCCCTGTTGATTCATCACAGGTGTGCACTGCGTGCTGAATCCTGTCGCTTTGGGTTTTTTCCTCCCAACAGAACTCTCCCTGGGGCTTCGGCCCGTCCCGCCGGCCACCCGGAAGGGACCTCAACGACCGCAAAAAATCCCCCATGACGGCTCAAGATGGCCTCCAAGATGGCCACGTTGGCCCAAGATGGCCTCAAGATGGCGTCCAAGTCCGCAACAGATGGTCCAAGATGGCCTCCAAGACGGCCCGAGAGAGTCCACGATGCCTTCAAGTTCGTCCAAGAAGCCTCCAAGACGGCCCAAGATGGCTCCAAGATGGCCTAAGACTGGCCAAGAGGCCCCCAAGAGGCCTCCAAGATGTCCTCCAGGACGGCCCGAAAAGGGCAAACATCATTTATGTTCCTTAGGTGTTTGAAGGATTTTGGCATGTTCTTCTTATCAGCTCGCCGACGGCCCAAGACGGCTCAGGAGGCCCCCGACATCGTCACAAGAGCGCCCAAGAGGCCTCCAAGATGGCCCCATGACAGCTCAAGAGGCCCCCAAGAGGGCCCCAAGAAGAGCCCAAAACGGCCCAAGATGGCCCCGAAGACGCCCAAGATGGCCTCCTGGATGCCTTCAGGACGGCCAAGATGGCCTCTAAGACGGCCAAGAAGGCCTCCAAGACGGCGAAGATGGCCCCAACATGCACCCAAGATGGCCCTAGATGGCCTCAAGATGGCCTTAGACTGCCCCAAAGGCCCGCCAGAGGCCTCCAAGACAGCCTAAGTCTCCTCCAAGACGTCCTCCACTAGGCCAGAAAGCTCGGATACCACCTGGTCCGATAACTCGCCCGACTCTGTTCCCCGAATGCTTTCGAAACCCACTCGGGGAACGCGTGGCCATGTAGCTTGGCCAAGCCCAAACCCAGCTTTCGGCCACGCAGGCACTTCCAAGAAGGCAGGGGGCGGCGGTGATTCGCCGCAGACGTCTCCGATAACGAATATAGCTTGAGGTAACCATCATGGGTCATGTGCACGCTTGCGTCCTTTGGATCTCGCATGCTGTCCCACAGATGCCGTGCGATATCGCAGACCTTTTCACGCGGAATGCCGGGCAAGCTCGGGACGTGCGACGCGCTGACGGCAGAGTCCATGGAGTGGAGAAAACTGTGGAGAGCCGTGACGGCGGCGTCCGCAAGCAAGAGGCGATTCTCCTCGGGGGAATCCTGGAACATCGGAATATTAACCACGTCTTCCGCACGCAACGCGTCCGTCAATTTCTTTGCGTACTTGAAGCCGAACGCGGCGTAGGCCAACTGATGGGCGTTCTTGCAAGTGACGTGCGACGGAAAAGACCGGGCGGCCTCCTCTCGAACCGCAACGTTGAAGCACAGGTAGAGGAAGCTCAGGTGAGGCCGGAGAAGCGCAAACGTGCGGAGGGTCATCGTCTTACCCGCGCCCGCAAAAGCAGAGATCGCAAGGGGGAACGAGAGGGGGCTCAGGGGGGTGAAACGTCATCGAGCCGAGCTGGAAGCAGTCGGCGGTGCGTCGCCGATGGATCCGCGACATGCCCCCGAGAGCAACACCGCACGCTGCTGGGCGGGGCGGGCCATCAGGCCCCTATCGTACGAGACCGATGTTGCATCACAGCAGCAATTCGGCCCCTGACTTTCGTCCTGGATTCGGTTTAGTGAAGTGATGAATCTCGGGGTCCTTACGTGGGAAAAAAACATCACTCCACTAATCTGGGGCCCCTGGGGCCTCAGTGGGCCCTGGGGCCCAAAATTAGTGAAGTGATGGTTTTCGGGCCTCGGATATCGGTGGCGAATGGGCGATCGGGGGCCGATTCGGCCCCGCTGGCTTTCGAAGCATCACTCGAGTCTCAGGCGGCCGCTCGGAACGGCCCGGGCACCCCCGGAACGCCCTCGGCGAGGCGCAGCTGCTGGAGAGCATCCCGACGCTAGGAAACCGCCGAGGACCGACAAGAAACGTCCGAAAGCCTCGAGCATTGACAGTCCCGTCCGAGCCTAGACTAAAAGAAGAGAAAGCCACGTAAACATAAACTTTTGGCGCTCCGCGCGGATTTCTTGCATTCGCGCTGGACCCCCCTCGCTGTCGCGCGGAGCGCGCCAGGGGCGGCGCCGGAGGCGCCGCCGGGGGCCCAGGTGCGGATCCAAGAAGTCCGCGCGGAGCGCCAGAAGTTTATGTTTATATGGTTTTGTTGCTTCTTCGATGGTCCCCCTGTCGCTGCCCCTGGGATTGTGAGGATGTCGGTCCGGAGCAGGTCGCACTGCACCACTGCCGCCTGCTCCTGCGTGAGGCGCACGCCGGGGACGCGGATGCCGGGGGGCGACACGCTGGGGCCCGCGTCCTCAGGAGGAGGACGAGGAGGAGGAGGAGGAGGAGGAGGAGGAGGAGGAGGAGGAGGAGAAGGAGCAGGAGGAGGAGGAGGAGGAGAGGAGGAGTAGTAGAGGAGGAGGAGGAGCAGGAGGAGGAGGAGGAGGAGGAGGAGGGGGAGGAGGAGGGCGCGAGGCAGGGTCCCCGGGAAGCACCGGCACACGTTGGGCCCAGCTGCCGCAGTATGCGACCGTCCCTCGTCGAAGGCGCGGGGGCGGGAACACCCAAGGAGCACCCGCACACTCTGGACACACGTTGGGCCTGGCGGCCGGCAGGGAGCGCCGGCACACTCTGGGCCTGGCGGCCGCGGTATGCGACCGTCCCTCGTCGAAGGAGGAGCAGGAGGAGCAGGCGGAGGAGGAGGAGGAGGAGGAGGAGGAGGAGGAGGAGGAGGAGGAGGAGGATCAGGAGGAGCAGGAGGAGGAGAAGGAGGAGGAGCAGGAGGAGGAAGGGAAGGTGGAAGAGGAGTAGGAGGAGAGGGAGGAGGAGGAGACACCGGCACACTCTGGGCCTGGCTGCCGCGGCGTGCAGGGTCTGCGAAGCAGGCCGTCTCCTTTGTTCCTGGACAGCAGCGCTGGCGCTGGCGGGTCCTTACTCGTGCCGCTGAGGAAGCGGCTGAGGGGCACGCCGAGGGTGTCGCCACGCTGCCGCCCGTGGTTGCTCGTTGCCGCGTCGCTGCTGCCCCTTGCCGTGCATGCGTGTGTGTGTGTGTGTGTGTGTGTGTGTGTGTGTGCCAAGGGTTCGCCACATCGACTCCGTTGCCGCTTCGTTGCCGCGTCGGCGCCGACCCGTGCACTGTGTGAGGTTGCCGAGGATTCGCCACGTTGACGCCCGTTGCCGCGGTGCCGTCCGTTGCCGCGAGTCGCC